GAAATTTACAAAATTTACGGTTAATATGAATTTTATTGGGAAAGCGTGGATACGGATATATATATATATATATATATATATATATATATATATATATATATATATATATATATATATATATGCACGTGTGTGCGTGCACGTACGTATTTGAGTGTTGTGTGTATAAAGATCCTAAGGTTTGCTTAAAAGTTTTCAGCCCAATCGATCAAAATGATCTTTGGTTATATATATATATATATATATATATATATATATATATATATATATATATATATATATTGATGCTAGAGCTATGAAATCTTTCATACTCCTTATTAATAACTGCCTTTTTTATTTCCAGGTAAACTAACACCTGACTGTTCAAAGAAGACTTCAAAAGTAACTTGTAGCTACTGATCTTGAAAATGGACAAAATTTGATATCGTGGTGTTATTAAGTACCTGAAGAAAAAGGGTTTAGCCCGAAAGGACATTCATGCTGACATGCTTGCTTCATTAGGAATTGACGCTCAAGTTTTATCATTGGTGCAAAAGTGGGCAGCAGTATTTAAGAGGGGAAAGGAGAGTCTTGAAGATGATCTGAGGTCTGGACTCCCTGCCACTGCGACCACCGCGGAAAAACATTGATCATGTTCACCAAATGGTGATGGATGACAGTTAATTTACTGTATATCAAATAGCAAGTACTATCAGCATATCCCGTGAGAGATTTGACAATATCCTGCAAAATGAATTTGGCATGACAAAGATTTCTGCTTGGTGGATGTCACTTCTTCTGACACGTGGTTTCCTTGGATGTTTCCTAAGCCGGGATGATTGTTGGGTCCATCACTTTGAGCCAGTGAAACACCCGCTCAACTGCTCTAAAGAAGGCAATGGTTGTTTAATCTCCAGAGATGATAACCTCAGTTTTTTGAAAAAGGATCACACTATCAATGGAGAGTACTTTGTCAACTTACTGAGGCAGTTACTAAAGACTATCAAAACCAAACGCACAGTAAGAAGAACGACAGGGTTCTTGTTTCATCAAGACAATGCTCCAGCACACAGCTCCTGGTTTAATGGTTGCTCTGCGTGACTTTCACTTTGAACTGGTTGATCACTTTCGATATTCTCCTGATGTGACTATCATCTGTTCCCCAACATGAAAAAAGACGTGGCAGTGTACCAGTATTGCAATGATTATGACTTCATATCTGCTGATATTGACCGACAGATGAACAGTCTTCTTTGAACAGATATCAGATTACATAGAAAGAAGCAATGTGGTTATTAATAAGAAGAGTTGAGATTAATGCATGTAAAATTTCACAGTTCTAGCATCACTCCTTCATAGGCGGCCTATGAACTGTTCAGCCTATCCTCGTATAGGATAGGATAAGGAAACAAATAAGAAACGATTCTAAATTTAACATGTTTATTTAAGCTTCACCAGAAAATGAAATAAGGAGGAGAAAGGAAAATTCTAGTATTTTTATTTTTGTGTTGTTTGTCTTTCATTGATTAAGCAAAACCTCACGTGTATTTGCCCTGTCAAGCAGCGTTTGTGTAATTCTTGCTTGTTTGTGTATCAAAATTCTAGTTGGACTATGCAGGATTTAGTTGATAATGTGTGAGCATTTTTATTTACGTCTTCTAGAGTCTATACGTTGATTGCGAAATGTTTTGTATGAGAGTGAAAGAATTGTGCTTGTAGGTAGAGAGATTCTGTAAATATGGATTTTATAAAAGTTGGCGATATAACAAAGTGTACTTGACGTGACTGATGGTAAAATATTTATCAGTATTCTTGCTAAGTATTATTACATGATGTTCTTTACTAA